AACGAACCCTAAAAAGCTCTGCAGCTCCGTGATGTTCGTCGGGGGATGCCACGCTTTTACCGTACCCAGCTTCTTTGGGTCGATTTCAACTCCAGCCTCCGAAATAACGTGCCCCAAAAATTCTAACCTATTCTGGAAGAACTCGCACTTGGAACCCTTGGTCAGTAATCTGTACTCGTCTAAAACCTTAAACACTTCTTCCAGATCTGCTAAGTGCTGCTGCTTATCCCGACTGTACACTAGGATGTCGTCGAGGTAAACGATCACACATTTATCTAAGAGCGGCCTAAATGCCTCGTTCATGGTCATCTGAAAAGTCGCCGGTGCGTTGGTCAGCCCGAATGGCATCACAGTGTACTCGAACGACCCGTACCTAGTCCTGAAAGCTGTTTTGGCGCAGTCCGATGGTTCGACCCTAATCTGATGGTAGCCTCCCCGTAAATCTATTTTCGAAAAAACCCGTGCTGTTCGCAGTTGGTCGATCAGTTCGTCGGCGCGGGGAATTGGGTACCGCGACTTGACTGTTACCCTGTTCAGTGCTCTGTAGTCGATACACATGCGAAAACCCCCGTCTTTTTTCGGCGTGAATAGTATCGGTACGGCGAACGGTGACGAGCTCGGTCTGATGAATTTTTTCTCTAACAGGTAATCTAACTGCTTCCTTAGTTCGTCGAGCTCGGGCTGTGTCAGTCTGAACTGGCGCTGTACGGTTGGCTGTGCCCCCGGTTCTAATTCGATTCGGTGGTCATGTGCTCGCTGAGGTGGCAGTCCTTCCGGTAAGTCGTCGGGGAAAATCCCGGGGTATCGTTTCAACAGTTCCTGTAATTCGGGCGGTACGGCTGCCAGGAGTTTCTTGAAATCACTCGGCTGCTCTGCTTCCTCTACTACTGCGATGTCTACTGCGTACACGTCAGCTCCAGCAGCGACAGCCCGTTTCATTGTGATAGCGTTGACGTGTACCGTTGAAGACTCGGGCGACTGCCAGCGAGGTAGCTCGACCCAGTTGCCACTACTTCGCACGGTGCAGCTACCCGTCGTCCAGTCAATTCGCGGGTTATATCGTCGCAGCCAATCACGTCCCAGTAAAATATCGTGCCCATCCAGTGTCGTTGCGAGCATTTCCTGTGTAAACCCGAAATTTCCCCCGCAGCGGACTTTGACTCTCTCTACCTTTTCCCGTATGGCCAGTGGCGTGCCGTCGACTAAGCGTGCGTCTATCTCCGGTAAGCAACGGCTAAGTGTCAGCTGCAGTTTTCGTGCGGTTGCGGTATTAACTAAACTGTGGCTTGCTCCTCCGTCGATAAAAATCTTCACTGCTGCTCCCTGTATTTTCCCGTGGATCAGTACTGGGAAATCCGTCGTTGTACCCTCCTTATTCATCCGAGCCCGATCGATGGCGTGAATCGGTACTGTGACTCGGTGAGGGTCGGTGCGGTTGGGCGAGCAGGCAGTCTCGTCAGTAGTTGGCCCAACTTCTACTGACTGCTGGCGTTTCCCTGCCTCTGAGACTCCCTTCCCTGCTCTGCTCCGCGGCGTCTTAGCTCCTCTGGGCATTCGCTCTTGCGATGGCCCGGCCTATTGCAAGCAAAGCAGCGCCCCTTAAACGGTGCGGCAGCTGCATTCGTTGCAACAGCGTTTACAGTGGCGTGCTCGATCGGTCCCCGAGGACGATGTCCGTAGTAGGACCCCGGTCTCGGTCGGCGTAGAATGTCGATTTTCTCGGAGAGCGCGAGAATCTCGTTGAAGTTTGAGAGTCCGCGCAGCATGATTTCGTGCGAGATATCCGGCTTCAGCCCTCCGACGTAACGGTCCACCCGCTCCGCTTCGTGCATGTAGCCGACCTGCTCACAAAGTGCAAGAAAACCGCTCGTGTAATCTTGAACCGACCCGAGCTGCCGCCAAGTGCGCAATCTATGACGCGTCGAAATAGAAGCCGCGATCGGCTCGAAGCGCGCCCGAAGCCCTGTGCACCACGCATCCCACGTGCTGTATTGGGCGGTCTCGCAGAATGAACTCCAGGTGACAGCTGGACCCGTGGGCCCTTCCTCTTGCGACGGTGGCTCGTAGGCGCGTGGCGACGTCACGATGACTCGCCACCAGTCCATGGCGGGGCCCCTTAGCAGCGAAACTGCATACCGAATCTTCGTTGCGTCCGACTCGACGTAATTCGCGTCGAAGAAGACGTTCATCGTGAAGACCCACGATTGAACCGTCGGACCTCCACGCTGGCTCGGGTCGAAACAGGGCGGGCGTTGCGGCTTGAGTGGCATTGGTGCCATGATGGCCTGTTCGCCACTTGTCGCCGCGAACTCCACGTGCCGACGGGCTTCGCGAGGCTCCCGCGGGCTTGGTGCGACCCTGTTTCCTCCCATGCCAGGCATCGGCTGGGCGGCGCCTGGCTGCGCCTGAGCGCTGTCCTACGCTATTGGTTTGTGTTGGTGTGCCAGACGAGATGACGATCGGCTCGTCTGATTGTGCAGATGCATTTGTCGGTGCGTGTGGTGGCGCTGGAGTGTTCATCGTTGATTGCTGACGCGCGGAGTCACGTTCCGCCGTGAGCATCGCAATTTCGAGCGCCGAATCTTCGAGTTGGCGCACCAGACGGTCGAGCTGCTCCTGCGTCAATGTGGCGAGCGTGAATTCGGCCATGGCGGGGGTGTCGGGCGAGCTCAGCGAGAGCCTCAGTCGTGGCCGTGCGTGCTTACGAGAGAGCACTACGAGCGGCGGTGCTGTGTCGCTGAGGGACGTCTACCCCCCCCAAAAATTGAGATAGTGGGGAAGCGAAGGTGTGGGTGCGGTCCGAGAAGAGGTCGTAGGCTCTGATACCAAGTGTTACGAGTGCAATGGAGTGAACGAACGAGAATTGCACTATCGAAGCAAGAGTACAATGAGCGAAGGCATGAGCGAAGAATATATAGCGAAACTACAGTGGTAACGGTAATGGACTGTGGTTGTCGCGCGGCGGGCCTGGGACTGAGGTTGGGAAAAAGTGTCGAAGCGGAGGCCCGGAGCGCGGGTTACCCGCCGAGCCGTGGGGTGCGATGTGCGAAGGTGGCGGGCAGATTGTCAATGCGAGGGTTGCGAGTGGTAACGGTGCTGACTGTGGTGCTACAGTGATGTACGCGTTGAGCAGGGATGCGAAGTAAGGAAAAGGAATTTTCCTTACAGTAAGGAATTTTCTCGGCATTCCTTACGGAGCCCGACTACATCGCGTACAGCAACAGCCGTTGTTCGCCCGTTACTGCTAACGGGACTTCGCCAACTTCGCGCGCACTGTTTTGCCAAACCTCGCACTGCTGGCCCGGCGGTGTCGGCCTACGCTTTGGGACTAGCCCGAGCCTCGCTGCCAGCATAGCACTAGCTAGCTCGCACGCGCCGCGTTACCGTTTGCATGTTTCGCGTATAAATGTTCGCCCATGCCTTCGCTCACATCTTGGTACTCGTTTTGACACCTTAGTGCAATTCTCGCTACTTCGATTCATTGCACCCGTAACACTATGACACCAGTGTGCACCTTCTGTGTGTCATGGCGTGGCTGTGTAAATTGTGTAATTTTAATGCTCGATATTATATTCCATGTCTGCATGACTTTATACGTTATACCGAGTTAGTGTTTCTCGGATGAAGATAAAGCCCACTTCTTCACGTCACGTTACTTATCCCCTCAGGGTTTAGCACGCTGTGCTGGAACGACAGCAGACAGAAGAGGTGAAGCATGTTGGATGTCAGGAGGAACAGCTCCGATTGGCTAAGCGAAATTCATGGATGGATATGGAACCAGCAGACTCCTCAAATTACGGAGACAGTTTGGCGTGAAGCAGTTTCCTTCAATGATTTGCATACCAAGAAAAAAGGCTAATGTACCAAAATAGCTTCACAATTTTCTCACTTCCAGTAAGGGCGCGTCAGATCCGTTACAAGGTGATTTGGCTGGAATTTGGTCGACTATATCTTTCGCCAAAGTCGACAACATGGTCGACTTCAAAAGCGACCAATATCCGGCCACATTTACAGGGCCGAAAAATCTGACACATTTGGTGGCCGATTTGCAGGCCGCTTTGCAAATGTGTCAGATTTTCAGTTCGCCAGGGTGGCCGGATTGTGCGACGGAGTCGCGGATGCAGTGCTTGTGTGACACGTTGCGTCGCACGAGCTGGCGACGTCGCATAGTGACTGTAGCGATCTCAGGTCGACAAATTGGTCGACATTCGAGTCGAATGCACGTCGGAACTTTGTCGAATGCTGAACCGGCCATCATTTTTTTTACAAATGGCCGGATTTGGCGAACTCAACGACAATTTGTTCGAGTGTCGCAAACTTGTTACTTTCGCTAATTCCGGCCGGCCGGATTTTTCCGACAACGGATCTGACGCACCCTAAGGAGTCCAACTGTTTTCTTTCTGCCCAGACTCTTGAAAATTGTTGTACAATCCGGATCACTCTTGGCCTTGCTGGCTCCACCTCTTGATGTTGGTGGGTGTCACAACAGTCCCTGCTTGCGCGGCAACGATTTTCGCCGCTTGTGAAGACAGATTCGCATGTCCTCTCCCAGCACTCTCAGGAGACGCGCGTGACTGGCTGTGCTCCGGTTCGCTGGCCATTCGATCCCACATCATTGGGCAGATGTACTCGCGCCGATTGTAAAGATGCGCTTCGTTGAGTCGAAGCGCGCATTGGTTCCCTTTTGCTACCCTTGTCCCGCCCAACATCGTGCCTGACTTCACTTCGGCCCCTCCAGGCTTTGCGTCTGCACCGCAGTGTGGCTCTCAGCTTGAAGGAGCTTCTTTCTAGCCAGCGCAGCATTGACCATGATCATTTGATCCGCACACCCACCAGACCAGGCTCAACTCGACTCGACTCGGACTCACGCTCCCTTCGTCTAGCAACACCGTCGTCTATACATTCGCCCAACTCTGTTCTTTCGCCTTCTTTCTCCCCTTGCTCGCCACCCGCTCGCTTCCGATCCAAGCGCATTGTCCTCTGCATGCCCGTGCCCCAGCATGGAGGTCCTCATGGCTGTCCAGAATGGCGGTAGCCAGGAGCTTTGCAGGAGAGTCGACCAGTCCATGTCGATCATTCATCAAACTCTCGCCACGTACCAGTAAGCGCAACCTGATGCTTCTAGCCAATTCTCTTGTTCCTCGTGGCTTGGATACTACTTCTCGCGTGATTGAAATGCCTAAACTTATTCTTTTCCCGCGTGTAGGCTCCAAGAGGTCGCGTTCAGTTTCAACGGAGGAAAAGATTCCACAGTGAGTCGCGCTGTTTCCAACCCAATTGCTCTCCGATGGATTTCGACCCTCCTCGTCCATTCCACCAATCAGTTCCTCAATTGTTCAATCCTTTGCAATTTGCCGGGCGGGTCACGGTGTTTCCCCCCTTGGGCAGGTCATCTTGCATCTCCTGCGCGCCGCACTAGCACAGAAGTCGCAGGTCCTCCCGCGCTCCTCCTCCTCCCCAGGCCTGCAGCTGCAGCACGCCGCCTCGCACCTGCCGCTGAGCAAGAGCCTGTCCAAGGTCACGTCGTTCGGCATCTCGCAGCGCCAGCCGCCCGTGCGCGGCGCCGACGGGCTGTGCGCCATCTACTTCCGCGACCGCGACGCCTTTCCCGAGATCGACTCCTTCACTCTCCACATGGCGCAAAAGTGCGTGCCCCACGCTCTCGCCCTCTCCCTCAACCCCGCTCTCGTCGCGCCCTTTCGCCAGCATCGCTTTGCGGCACTTGTTGGTCGTGGTTTCTGTTTATGTCTCTAATCTGTGTCATCATCCCGTATCGTCTCCTGTTTCTTGCGCCGTCCCGTTTTCTCCCGCGCGCCGCGGCGACGCGTGGGCAGGTACAAGCTGGACCTGGTGGAGACGGGCGATTCCTTCAAGGAGGGGCTCACCGCGCTGCAGCAGCAGCGGCCCGTCAAAGCCATCTTCCTGGGCGTGCGAAGCATCGACCCCAATGGGGTGAGTTCCTGCCAATTCCGCCCGCCCGCCGGTCTTCTTGAGTCTGAAAACAAATCTAGCCGGAGTGACTTACCGCCAAAACTGTCCGTCATCGGTACGAAGCACTAAGTATCTCTGCCTCTCCCTTTCCCTGCCCCATGGTGGTCCGGAATGGCATCCTGTTACCGCAGAAGGGGCAGGAGGTGTTTTCGGCGAGCTCGCCCGGGTGGCCCGAGTTTATGCGCGTGAACGTGATTCTCCACTGGACCTACCGCGACGTCTGGGAGTTCCTGCTGCTCACGCGCGTGCCCTACTGCTGCCTCTACGACCAGGGGTATGCCGCATGTCTGCTGCCTCGCTCCCTCGTGTGCTCTGCTCGTCAGATCTGCTTCCGTCAACTTCTTTCTGCCTCTGTCGGCCTCCGTCTGCGTGTTTTCTAGGTTTAACTGCACCAGCAATATAGCATTGTTTCATCGCCGTGTCTCCTTGGCCCCGTGCGCGCTGGCGTGCAGGTACACGTCGATCGGAGGCGTGCACGACACGCTTCCCAACCACGCACTGCTAGTCAACGACGCTGCGCACTGGATGGCCTCCGCCTCGCAGCCCCCCGCCCTCTGCCCCTCGCTCTGGCTGCTCGCGTGCCGCCAGATGTCCCTCGCGCGCACCTGCACCTGCTGCTGCTGCTCGCGAGCCCCCCCTGCCTCCGCGCCCCTCTCCGCCCCCGCGCCCGCCGCTGACCCCCCAGCACTGCCGCGGACTTCAATAGGGGGAACGCACCTGCCGGCTTACTTTCTCGTGGACGAGGGGCTTGAGAGGGCCGGACGGGGGAAGAGGGCAGGCGGCGACAGCAGCATGAGGGAGCAGCAGACGGCGCTTGAGAAGGCCGAGGGCGAGAGGGAGGTGGACGGAGGAGGCAAGGAGCCGCTGGAAGGCTCGGGTGGGGTGGAGACGGCAGTGGTGCAAGGGGGTGCGATGAGGTGTGGCGGGCGGAAGGGCGCGACGTGGGGTGCACTGGTGGTGGCATGACTCACATCTGTCCTGATTGGAGAGGCTGCCACCCAACTACTTGTCCCTTGGCCCTCTTACTCCTCTGCTGTGCCACTACACCTCCCCCCTTTCACATCACCATGTGGGCCTCCTCTTCTGCCCACCACCATCCGTTCTACTCTACTGCATGCATGCCTTACGACATCCTACCCGTCGGCAGCATTGGGCCCTGGAAGGGGGTGCTGATGGTGCGATGAACTGTTATCTGCCCGCCTGCCTGCTACATAGCATACCATGTCATGCTATGCACGGCCATCCCACACCAGGCACAACATTGTGCTGTGTGGGTAATTGGCACGCATCCATGGTGTGCTGTGACGGGGGCAACTGACAGGCAGGTAAACACAAGATTAGGGCTGGAAGTGCAAAGAAGCAAAGAGCTGACCTCCACTTCCTCCCCTTGCCCTGCACCACTATAGGTGTGAGCTACACTAGGGCATCTTTATAATGTATATAATTATTCTATATTAAATCATGTTTACTTACGATATTAGGGCATGTTCCTATCAGGCCAACCTCTTATCAAGCTTGCGTCAAAACACACTGAAAAAATCCCGAAACCCAAAAACCCTTGCTACTTCTACCAGGCAAGGCTGATGAAAAGAGGTTTGCCTCATAAGAGCATACCGTAGGAGGAAGGAACACGCCCTTGGGCCAAGCCAACAGTGGACGAAGTCGGCAATAGAGGGGTGGTGTGTGGATGAGGGCATGGCATGGCATGGCAAGATGCAGGTGCTTGCATACATCATGTGGAATATGAAACAGTTCGTTGTACTGTAATTGATGAATGTCTCCAGAAGAATTGGGTGATATTGTGCATTCTTCTGCCTTGCTTGCGCAGAATGCAAGTCACTAATGTGCCACTGCCCAGCATTCTGCTGATAGGTATCACTAGGAGGATCTGTAAAGAAACAATGGGTGAATGCAGAAAACAATGACCACACCCTCCCCTATTTTCCATGCCGCTTTTTCCTTTTCAGGTCCTTCCCCTTTTCTCCCGACTTCTTCCTCCTGCGTATCTGCTGCCTCCCTCCACTCTTCCCTTTTTTCCTGCAGCTACCCTTGGCTATCTGCAATGCAGTGCTTTTTCTCTCCCCACCACCCTTCTTTCCTCCACCCCCTTCACTATGCCCATGTGCTTTCACCCCTCCCACTCTCCCTAAACCATTCCTCACAGCACCGCCCTCCTCCTCCCCCTCTTCCTCCTCCTCACTGGCGGCCCTCCCCTCGTCTTCATGTGTTCCAAAGTCGGTGGTGACAGTAACGAAGGTCTCCAGGCTGCCACTGTCGTAGTGAAGCACTGTGGGGACAGGCGACAGGGGAGGGAGAGAGGTGCGCAGCGCATGCCATTTCAAAACAGGGGGATGGGATGGGAGGAAAGGAACAACCACTCATGTGCCAGCAGCACAATGCACCTTGGGAAGCAGAAGGAGATCGGACAGGTGCAGGAGGGCGGTCACGGAGTGAAAAAACGATGCAGTCAGAGGGAAGGAGGAGGAAACGCTCAGTGGGAAGGGCATGGCATGCATGGCATACCAACAGGGGCAGCAGCCGGAGTGCGACCGAGAGACAGCAGCCGCTCATTCTGCCGCTCAAACCCCGCTTCCTCCTTCCCATCCACCTCCTCCCCTTCCCTACCCTCCTCTCCACCCCCCCCCTCCTCCTCCTCCTCCTCCTCTTCCTCCTCCTCCTCCTCCTCGTCCCCGCCATCTGCTGCTCCACCCCCTTCCCCCTCCTCTGGCACCACCTCCCCCCGTGCCACCTTTGCCGCCAGTCGTCGCTGCGGGGCGAGTAAGCGGGGTTGGTGTGCGGTGGGATGGGTGGGGTGGGGGGGTGGTGTTGGTTGGATGTGAGGAGAGGGGGAGCGGCGGGAGACATGGGCGGGGTTGGAAGGAGCGCGGGGAGAACTTTAGGGAGGACCAGGCAGAGCGGGAAGCACGAGTATGAGGGGGTGAGGCGGTGCTGGGGAGAAGGTGGGGAGGGGGAGCAGACTCGGGGTGCGAGAGAGGACTCCGCAATGGCGAGAAGGCAGCGGGGTTGAACCGGAGTGGCGAGGTGAGACGCAGAGCAAGAAACAAGTGCAGGCGCGTAGGCAGCCCGGACGGGGAGGCGCGGGCAGGGAGCAGGTGGGCAGTGCGCATTGCGCTCACCTCGGCGCGCTCCTGCAGGTGCTTCTGCCGCTTCTTCCGCTTCTGCTTCTCCTCCGCCACTCGCCGCCGCTCCACCTTGCGCTTGTGAAAGCCCGACACGAACTCCCTGCGCGCCGAGCGGGGGGGTTCAGGGCACAGGGCCGAGGGTTTTGCTCAGAGGGTTTACACGTGCAGACGAAAGTTCCGAACGTGGAAATAATGGGGAAAGCGGGTTTGAGGGTATGGCGACGCAAGCGCGAGGGCGCATGGTGGCGCGGAGAACGCGGGCGATTGGGGAAGGGCGGGCGAGGGCGCACCTCCTGGCGTTTTCGTCGAAGGACACGGTGATGCCGGCGTTTTTCCGCTTGCGCTTATTAATGTACGGCATGAACGCGCCCGCCCCGCCCTCGTGCTCCTCGCCTCCATCCATGGCGCACGGCTGATTGCTGCTTCGCGAGACACTGCTGCTGCGCGAGGTACGTGTGGTGGTATGTGTGGGGGCCGAACGGCAGACACAGGCGCAACAGCCCGAACCAACTTGAACACCTTAGTGCAAGGGAAATTTGAGACTCTCTATGCGATGATTCGGAACACTTGTCAACTGGTACACAACACTAGTAGCACAACAGTGGAACTCTGGGTGCGTTGTTGAATTGTACGCTAAACTAAATCCAATGAAAAATGAGCCTAAATAGCGTCATACACACAATAGCCAACCAGCATTAACTTTCCTGTCATTGCTTCAAGCGAAGTGACTAGCACGTTTCACCTGATCTGATATCAGCCTATGTGAACCATCCCAATTCCCTGCCTTCACCACTTCTCCACACCTATGGTGGATTGAACGGACCCTGTTTTGTACCGTACTCAATGAAACTCTCCGTGCATGAGTGATTCCGGTTGGAATAATGTCACTCTGCATCGATGCGTGAGAGCTCCTTGTCCAGGAGAGGCACGTAGAGAGGACTCATGTGCGTCCCATCAAACTCAAACTCACGCCGCAGCGACTCTGCATGGTGAGCGGGCGAGCAGGCGTTAGCACAAGAACATGTAGTCGCTGTGTAAGGCATGCAATACACACTCAGGCACGACACGGAAAGAAGCACAGAAGCTACAAGTATAGCATACACTAATACATCACCACCGGCCCCATCCCCCACTCTATCTCCATCACACTCTCCCTTGTTCACCCTCCCGCAGCTCTCCCCACTGCTTAATGCCATTCAAACGCATAGTACCTTGATCATCAGTGAGCAGGCCATTGAAAAATTCCAGCATGTGCAGTCGCCCCTCAGCAGCAGGGGAGGCTTTTGAGGCGCCTCAAAAGTCCTCTCCCCACTGCTTTAAGCCATGGGCACGCACGCATACCTTGATCGTCAGTGAGCAGGCCATTGAAGAAGTCCAGCATGTGCAGTCGCCCCCCAGCAGCAGGGGAGGCAGCGGCAGCCAGGCAGCGGCGGCGCAGCGTGGCGTTGTAGATGCGCGCGAGCGGACGCGTCTCGGGGATGACTGAGGGCACGGGGTGCACGAAGATCTCAAAGGCGCGTGCTGCGATGAGCGAGAGCAGCACTGCGATGTAGATGTCCACTGTCACCTCCACTCCCTCCTCCACGTCCTGTTTGGTGAGACATTGGGAAGCACGGAGAGAAGAGAGGGAGGGAGGGAGCGTAAGGGTGGACGAGAAAGGCGGGATGGCAGCGCTGCGATGAGCGAGAGCAGCACTGAGATGTATATGTGGACTGTCACCTCCACTCCCTCCTCCACGTCCTGCCGTGCGGGCAAGGAAACCGGAAAGCACGGAGAGAACAGGGGGATGGAGTGAAAGGGCGGACAGGAAAGGCGGTATTGCGGCCTGAGGCATGCAGTGAGGGGACGGCAGGTGCAGCCAGGGATTTACGCAGAGCGGCGAGCCGTGACACGGACTAGGCTGCACGGGAAGTGGTGTGGAGTGGTAATGCTGGAGGTTCAGAAGCAGCGCCAAGGGGGGAGCAGAGCGCAGGGGGGAAAACCATGGTGCGGGGCGTGGCGAGGGGGCTTGCCTTGTACTTGGTGCGATCGACAGAGATGAGGATGCCCTCCCTGCAGTCTATCTCCCCAAACAGCACCACCACCTCGCTGCCCTGGGGCACTCGCTGCATGGCCCGGTGGAACGACGCCTGGATTGGTGCATGCATGCAGGGGAGGAGACGTGGTGGCGTGGCACGCAGGGGCAAGAGCAGAATGAGTGGGTGAGAGGGATGAGAAAGCGAGAGCTAGGGGGATGCAGAAGTGAGGGCGAGAAGCGGAATAATATGAGCGGAAGCGGGATGGGAGGCGATGCGAATGCAGTGGGGTGATGATTATGATGACCTTGGGGAAGAAGGTGGATTCAGGGCGCAGGTGCCACGCCTTGAGCCCCGTGATGAGCACCGGACACAGCAGCCGCGGCCGCCCCCTCAGCTGCACCACCCGCCACGCTGCCGCCATGCAGTGGCTGTCGCCTGGGGAGGGGTGATGGGGAAGGAATGGAGGGCGAAGAGAGGGAATGAAGACGTGCTTATGGGACTATGCTGCTCGTGGCAGTGAGTGAGATGCTGGTGGAGAGATGGCGAAGGGGAGGAGCAATCTGCAATGCATTGAAGAATGGCGGCGAGGAGGCCAGGCAGGAAGAGACGAGGGGATGGAGGGAAACAGAAGGACGCTGGAATGGAGGGAACGGAACACATGGCAGACAGAGAGGGGAGGGAGCGAGGGAGAAGCAGGACTGACCAGCAAGGAACAGTGGCTTTGGTGCACTGTCGGAGAGGGAGTGGGGGATGGGGTACTGTGTGAGCAGCTGGAAGGCACAGCCAAAGTACGCCGCCTCGTTGC